TAAGAGAATACACCCAGTGAAAAGTTGACACCCTTTCCCAAGCCATGTGAGTCCACAGAGGAGGGTTAGGGGCTTTGGGGACGTGTGGGATGAGGAAAACCCTGGACAGGCCAGCCTCAAGTCTCCTGCCCCTCTTTAAAAGAGCTACCTCGCTCTTACTTATTTATGTATTAGGCTCTCAAATAAGACTGCCTGCAAAGAGGGTTTTACAACCAAGACAAAGCTTTAAAACTATAGAAATAGATAAACTGTCCAGTCCTTTTCAGTTAGATTCCCCCGATCTATTTAAAAGATCCCACCCCCTCAATCACTTAATTCTAGTCCACCTCTGTGGGCTCAACTTCCTCAGTCCCCAAAGTAGCCTTCATGTGTCATTCCAGCTATGCCTTTTCATCTGCCGGAAACCATCTTTTCCCATGTTTTTCTGCCTGGCATCATTCGGCTCACCCTTAAGATGCAGTTCAGAAGCTCCCTACCCCGTTCCTTTCCACTCTCCCAGCAACGAAAGACCCATGCTCACTAAGAACCACGCTCACCCACAGAGCTCCAAGAGCACCCTGTAAACAATCTACAATATTAAGACTGGCCATGTGGAATCACCTGTATATTAAACTCTTTCCTGACTGAAACATAAATGCTTCATAGACAGGAGACCTGCCTTACTTAGCATTTGTGTCTCTGATATTGACTAAAGTGATCGATTTAGTAGGAACTTAACCGTGTGTTTCACCTCATGTAAAGGAAGGAAATTAGGAAGTCAGAAGTTATTTAGGAAATTGGCAAGTTAGTTGATAAGTAGGTTAGGGAATTAGCCTGTAAGTTGAACTACATGTTAATGAGGAAATCTCTCTTTATCTGAGTAATTAGCATTTGAGTGTGAATAACCACTAGATTTAATATTTCCAAGTGAACGTACACTTTTAAAGAGTACTTATTTATCTAATGGCTTTCTTTGGTGCAATGTGGAAGGAAATACATTTCTTGAGTGGAGAAACCCTTCTCTGTCTTTTCCCTACTCTCAGCTGGGTCTTTCTCCTTTACATCGTCTTAGGCTGGAGAATATTGGCCTCCTAGTTCTAAAAGAATAATCAAGAGCCAGGGCAGGCTGTGAGTGACAGGTTGAAAGTAGAGAAGAAGAAACATGTAGTGATTATCTTTACTATTGGGTGGCACTGTCTAAGGCACAATTGAAGAGTTCAACATTGTGTGTAGGTTCTCTGGGAGTATTTAACTGAAGGCCGGCCCATTATTCCAATATATGATTGAACCACAGACTCTCTAAGTTGGAAAGAATTAACATTGAAAGGCACTAAATTTTTCTTAACCCCAAATTGTTCATGGACGCTCAGTTACTACATAATCTAGGATAAAAACCAAGGCTTCCCTTTCAGTGATTTTTATTTCTTATTGAAATTAGAAAGATTCTCTCTGTGTTTACACACCAGATATTTGAAGATAGTTGAATGATTCACAACATTTTCCAGGATATTTGGGGTTGAAATCATTTACTTGTCACCACTGAGCTTCAATGCCAGGTAGGATACTCTCTAATGTCCACTGAAAGCCTGGATTCTCACATACAAATAAATAAGGATTTTTAAAATATTATGATATCCCTTACAATGTATCCTAAAGAATAATTCTTGAGAGCAGAAATTGTCTTACATGGTTATCTAATTGATTTTCTCTGGCAAGTTAGTTGATAAGTAGGTTAGGGAATTAGCCTGTAAGTTGAACTACATGTTAATGAGGAAATCTCTCTTTATCTGAGTAATTAGCATTTGAGTGTGAATAACCACTAGATTTAATATTTCCAAGTGAAAGTACACTTTTAAAGAGTACTTATTTATCGAATGGCTTTCTTTGGTGCAATGTGGAAGGAAATACATTTCTTGAGTGGAGAAACCCTTCTCTGTCTTTTCCCTACTCTCAGCTGGGTCTTTCTCCTTTACATCGTCTTAGGCTGGAGAATATTGGCCTCCTAGTTCTAAAAGAATAATCAAGAGCCAGGGCAGGCTGTGAGTGACAGGTTGAAAGTAGAGAAGAAGAAACATGTAGTGATTATCTTTACTATTGGGTGGCACTGTCTAAGGCACAATTGAAGAGTTCAACATTGTGTGTAGGTTCTCTGGGAGTATTTAACTGAAGGCCGGCCCATTATTCCAATATATGATTGAACCACAGACTCTCTAAGTTGGAAAGAATTAACATTGAAAGGCACTAAATTTTTCTTAACCCCAAATTGTTCATGGACACTCAGTTACTACATAATCTAGGATAAAAACCAAGGCTTCCCTTTCAGTGATTTTTATTTCTTATTGAAATTAGAAAGATTCTCTCTGTGTTTACACACCAGATATTTGAAGATAGTTGAATGATTCACAACATTTTCCAGGATATTTGGGGTTGAAATCATTTACTTGTCACCACTGAGCTTCAATGCCAGGTAGGATACTCTCTAATGTCCACTGAAAGCCTGGATTCTCACATACAAATAAATAAGGATTTTTAAAATATTATGATATCCCTTACAATGTATCCTAAAGAATAATTCTTGAGAGCAGAAATTGTCTTACATGGTTATCTAATTGATTTTCTCACTGTTCTCCCCAAACCTCAGTCACCAGCATCTAAGCGAGACCCTGGGAAATGAATGACTAAGATGACATGTGATCCTGCTCCGTGCATAGGACAGGGCCTTTCCCTGCGAGTCAGTACAGCAAGGGGCTGGTCCCTTCACAAGGCCTACTGAAGTATTGGCTACTGGGTTCTGATGGTGAATTGGGCATTTTTTAATTTGATTGGCAGATCAGATATTAAGCAGAAAATGTATTATTGCACAAACCACAATACTAGCTTTCCAAATTAAATTTGCAAATTGATGCCTGTTTCAAAATCATTGCTTGGAAAAGTTCTATTTATAAGTCTTGTGTATTATCGAGCATAAGGAAGGGTGAAGATAAGCTCATAGCATATAAGAATTATTGGGGAAAGCTGTGGATTCTACATCAGAGAAGTTAGTTACCTCCTAATCCCTTCCTCACTCTGCACTAAAAGAGCAACCTGCTCTGTATGTGCGAACTCAGCTCTCTTCAGGAGGAGAGAACACAAAAAGTCCTCCAAGCAAGAAAACACCAAGGTCCTTGTATTTAGTGCTTACTCACTTCTATAATTTCCTCACTGAGGAGTTCCTTAGGCCTTCCTTCGAAGACCATTTCCTCTTAATTTTAGATTCACTCTAACAATTTAAACATCGGCTGTTGGAAGCAGCAATCTAGAAAAGGAAGAGGTCTGACAGCAACAAGGAGAAGCGACTGACAGTCTGACCTCCAAGAAGGAGATGGAAAACTGTTTTACAAAGTGGAGGGAGCGGGGCTGACATAGGAACTCAAAATAATAGCAGCCCAGGCCATTTAATGTAGGAACAAATGGCTTTGATGTCCCCGAGAGCACCTCTATAATACAGAACAACATAGTAATTGATGTAAAGTTAGATTATGCTCAATATATTTTGCAGCACAATTCCATATAGCAGGTAGAATCTTGCCATGACAAAGTAGAAAGACCCTAAAGAGAGGATCTCAGTCTAATTCCTTTATTTTACAAAGAAGAAAACCGAATGTAAAAGGGTAGAACAGGTGCAAGGTAGAGTTAATACAACGGTGCAGCCCAGTTGTCCCAGTGCTTCTTCCATATGGACACGCCAACAACCCACACCACTGAGAGGGAGGAAAAGAGATATTGTATCACGTTTACTCATTCGTTGTCATTACTTTTGACATCTCTGTTTTTGCTTCTTTGCATTGATTTCTGCCCCCTTCAAAAGGAAAAAGAAACCTGCTCTCTTTTTTCACAAAAGACTGAAATATTATTCCCTGATTGTGATGAGAGAACCTCAGGGTTAGCCCCTACCAAAATTGGGACTGAAAGTAAAGTTTACTTTGAGTTCCTTCCTTCATCCTTCCTGCTGTGTTCCCTCCAAGCTGTCCCATGTCTGTCCTCCAACTTACTACCCCACCCACTAGCCCCACACCCAGAGTTCCTAACACAATGTAGGAAACTCAGCTCTCAGAAGTTTTGGTGTATTCTTGGTCTCTTTCTAATTTGATCTCTGATTCCCTCAAACAAAGAATGAGGCACTATACCAGTGTTTTTCAAATGCAAGCAGAGAGCTCATTAAAATGCAGATTCCTGATCTCCATCTCCTGAAATTATGATTCAATGCATGCTTCTGATGGAAGTGGCCATGGCCCATGTTGAAAAACACATGGCTTCTGGGGCTTCTCCAGCCTCGTCTCCTCTCAGTCCCTCAGGCATACTCCCCTTCACCCAAATACTTCATACTGTCTCCCTCTACCTTCTTTGTCCAGTCAATTCCTCCATATACTTCAAACTGGCTGATGCACATGTCTCTTATCTCTGTTCTCATTGTTCCTGTATATCTCTACATCATCGAGCTTATACAGCCTACCATGTATGCTGACTTTCTGATATATTTTGCCTTGATAAAAATTTCCATTTTTATCAACCCCTCCCACCCCAAACATAGCACAGTTCACTCAAAGTATCACTCTCAAATGAGAAGCACCTTCCGCAATACATAAAAATTAAAGAAAAGAATGTTACCCTAATCAAACCCTGGTGACAGCAATTATGGGGGTCATAATGAATTACGCCTTGTTTGCTTAGGATATCTGACACCTAAGGAACAATGACAGAGACACACACAACAAATGGGAATTTTTCTAAATAAAGATTAGTTTAGAATAGTTTATTAGAATTAGTTCCGATTGCTCCCCACGGATTCAGGTTAACAAGTTTTTCTGACGTGAGATTGGAAGATATTAGTACTGAATTCGAATTGATTCATATACATTGAACTTTGTGTACTTGTTCTAAGATCCCAGAGATTCCCAATATTTTCTACCCAAAATGGTTAGCCACCAAGAGGTTAGCTCATCTTTTAAAGTCCACCATCCATGTGTGTTTGTCCCATACAGGCGTTTGCTATGCAGAATTCGGAGTTCGCGTCCCCAAGACCACGGGGTCGGCCTACACCTACAGCTATGTCACTGTTGGGGAGTTTGTGGCATTTTTCATCGGCTGGAACTTGATCCTGGAGTATCTGATTGGCACTGCGGCCGGTGCCAGTGCTCTGAGCAGCATGTTTGACTCGCTGGCCAACCACACCATTAGCCACTGGATGGTGGACAGCGTGGGAACCCTCAATGGCCTCGGTGAGACAGCCACATCCTCTTACCCCAACATGCAAACTTACTGAGCCAAATAAAAGGGTTCCCCTTTCAGGATGCAGTTTGGAAAAGTGAATCAAGAGCCTTAAATATGTCTTTTTTCCCCAAAAGTAATTCATCCTCTGTGACTCTATCCAGAGGAAATCAGTCTAATTTCCATAAAAGTGTTCAACAAAAAATATGTTCATCAGAGCCTTACTTATAATAACAAAAAATTAGAAACAGCTTCAATATTCTACAGTGGAGCAAATGATTGCTTAAACTGTGGAAGTATTATGTAGCTAACAATTAAAAGAGAGGCTAGAAAGACTGTTGTAATAACATGGAATATGTTTTAATGTAATGGCATGTGACAAAGGATGCAAATTGTACATGTGTTACATTTATAACTGTAGAAAAATAAAACTAATGCAAAAAAAAAAAAGAACTGTAAAGAACATCTCCAGGGGTCTTATCAGTAGATCTTTTTTTTAATTTTCATAGATAAGCATGAATTATTTTTGAATGAGAAATATATTTTTAATATATTTTTACAATGAAACAAAATGGATTCCAGTCTAGCAGTGGTGAAGGACAGGTAATGGAACTGAGAGAATACTAAACAATCAGTAGTTCACATAACAATTACCTTGAGACTTCAGGCTCTGTCCATCACCTGCTACCCACTTTCCACCCTGATGTCTGATTTTATCTTTTTACATTCATGGGAAGCTACACATTAGTTGAGGAAGCTTTAGAGTCTTGCCCCAAAACTTCCAGGGACTGATTCAAGTGTTGGTTGTGTGCAAGTCATTTGGCTTCTTTGTCCCTATATCAGAAGAATTGACATAATGCTGAGCATCCACATACCGTGAGAAGATAAAAAGTATGAAGACCAAATGTCCTCAGTATATTGATTTCACAAAATTTTTGGTCCGAAAAGGTCTTCCAAAATCAAGTAGTCTAACCCCCTCGCTTCACAGATAAGGCCCAGAGAAATGAGGCACTTGCAGAGAGAATCAGACTGTTTTGGCTTTGGGTCTGTGTGCATATTTACATTGTGTGCTTAATAGCAATTTAATTTAATTTGACCTCTCTGGTTATGGGCGAAAGCGCAGCTGAAATTCAGGAGCCTGACTGCTAAGGCAGTGCCTTTTCTGCTCTATAGAGGGCAGGAGTCCACTGGCCAACAGACAAGACCCAGCAGGCAGGGCAAGTTCAACGGTCCATTTTCTATGCAATCACACACATAAAAAGGGAAAGAACACCCTTCTTCCAATAGTTTTCAAAAACACACATTTTCAAATTTTCTAATAATGAAAAGATTACTGGAAGGGAAAGAAAAATTCATGGACTATAAACTGAACAACAATGATGATAAAACGGTTTTCAAATAATATGTTGGACCCATATACACATCCCAAATGTCCCAGGATGGTTCTGACCTCGGATGTTCTGTGCCATGGTTCCATAGGCACTGTTGTAATTGTCATATTATGTATCCCAATTTTTAGTCCGGGACATCAGGTCATCTTACCTATATACCAATACATTGCCGTTTGCAAATAGACACTTGTGAACCACAGTGTAGGCACATGCGCACAAACGCACACACGCAAACGCGCACGCACATAGCTCCTTCTCCTCCCACGGCGGCAAACTGACCACGCTTCCCAGAGCTTAGTGCAGATGCCCTGGGGCGGCTGGGGCTGGCAGTTTGCACGGCCCTTTTTTCCCTCTGGACAGTATTAACTCATGTCTTTCCCTTCCAGGGAAAGGTGAAGAATCATACCCGGACCTTCTAGCTCTGGTGATCGCGGTCGTCGTCACCATCATCGTCGCGCTGGGGGTGAAGAACTCTGTGGGCTTCAACAATGTCCTCAATGTACTGAACCTGGCCGTGTGGGTGTTCATCATGATTGCAGGCCTGTTCTTCATCAATGGGAAATACTGGGCTGAGGGCCAGTTCTTGCCTCATGGCTGGTCAGGGGTGAGTTCATTCCTAAACCTGTCGCTGGCTCTGCCTTCCACCCTGTGAATGGTCTGAGACATATTTTCAGGAAAATGCTTCTCTGTCTCATAATCTTCATGGAGCTCTCTTCATCACCTTTCATTGGAAAGTTCTGAAGAAGTGGTTATTTTATTTGTTTCACAAGTATTTAATAAGATCCTATTAGATAACTAATAGATTCAGTGTTTTTGGTCCCCAACAATACACCTAATACCATATTAAGTGCTTTACATGTAATATCTCATTTAATCTTTCTAATAACCTTGCAAGGAAAATATTTACATTCTGGTCTTACACATGAAAAAACTCACACTCGGGGTGGTTAAATGGCTGTGGAGTACACAGTGTAAGTGGGCACACAGGACCCAAAGCCAGGACTGTCTGAGTCTAAAACTTGCCCATGAGCAGCTCAATCCTATAGAATCTCTCTATAGTCTATTCAGAATAGAGACAATCCATAAATAGACAAGACAGTAAAGGAGGCCAAGAGTGAATGAGTGGGGAAGGAATGTGTGTTGCCTGGGTATGGAACTAGAGAAATAACTGTTTTTAAATCTAATCCCAGCATTTGACCCAAGGTGGAGAGTCCATCTGGGGCCTGAGGGCAGTTGAGCAGGCCCAGTGGATGCTGGTTATAAACTCCATTCCAGTGGCATTGTTCACGCAGAGAAATTCACCTGGCACGGTCTGGGGGTTGAGAGTGGCCTGAACCACAAGGACATTTGCAGATCTCACTCCTGTCATCAGGGTGATGTGGCTCATGCTAAAGAAAAATGGGAAAGTCCTAGTGGCAAATTCTTTATACTGAGAAGTAGTTGTAAGTCGCACCTGGATTCTTCCTCTAGGATGACTAAAAATGCTTACTTTATGAATTGATTGGTAAAATTCACCAGCCCATTCTTTTTTTTTTTTTTTTAATAGTAGAACATAAATCAGAGAATTTTGAGCTAGAAAGAATCTTAGAAATCACCTGGTCCTACCCCCTCACTTAACAGGTGGAGACACGAGGCCCAGAGAGGCAAACCTGCCTAGGATTGTGCAGAAACAAGTCTAGGATTCCACCAGTTTTGCTTTTGCAGCTTTTGCATAGACTGGTTTTCCTCCAAGTTGTTCAGGGACCAGAAATGTCTCTTGGAGAACACTCAAAATAGCGTCTGTTATTCTGAACCATGCCACACTGTTCAATGCAGAGAAATAAGCAAAGAAGCAATTTCAGCCAAGATTTCTAGTCTTCTGCTTATCTATAAGAATTCCAAAGAATCACAAAGTTCATGCCGCCTCCTTGAAATAAATAAATCTTGAAACTGGTTAAAGCCAGAAGAGACAAAGAAACACTGTTGACCCCATTCTGGATCCCGAAATCTATATTTTCTTATGATACAAATTGTTCCTTTCCTATCAAATAAAAGAAACAGCAGATTATAAGAGTGACAGAGAAAAAATGTTTTTCTGGAACTCCTTTGCATTTTCATCATAGCACACAAAAATTTCTCACTATTTTCTTAACAATGTAAGAAATTATTGGGTCATGGACTTACTGTAAGACTTTGGCCAACAGCTAACTTGTGCTTTCAGATTTTCTTACCTATGAAGTTGGAAAACTAATTATACCAAATGTTAGCAAAAGAATAAAAATTTGGATTTTTTTGTGTGTGCACATTGTGTGGTTAACAATAGTGATAATGACAGAAAAATGGAGCTAGAATTTATCCACTACCTGCTGTGTGCCCACTTTGTGCTCTGTGAATATTATCTCACTCTTATAACAAAACTTTAAAGCAGGTACTGCCATCCCCCCCCCCCACCCCGCCACCTTACAGGTGGAGAATCCAAGGTAACTTACCTGAGGTCACTTAGCTAGTTGGTGCCAGGCCTGTAATTCCTGCCCAGGTCTTCGTGGCTCCAAAATTTTTTCTACTACATCAATGCCTTGTGTATGTTGACTCTCCCTTCTGAGTATTCTTTAAAAAAAAAAAGGAATAAGCTAATTCATCTGACATGTTATATTTTCATTTCCTTTAAACTTTCCCAAAGTCATAGAGTCTTGGAGCTGGAAAGGGCATTAAGAGATGGCCTGTCTTTTTTTTTATCTTCAAAGGAGAGTATGGTTAAACCAGTCCAGGCCAAACGTGCATTGCTTACCAAGACATCATGTCAAAGCAATTCAAAAACTTTTCTTAATTACTTGAATCATGTTTAATTTTCAAAATCTTCCTAATAGCTTACCTAAATGGCCCATACTGTAGTCTATGCTCCATGTGAAAACTGGAAAGAGTTAACATCCTCCAAGTAAATACTCTTTGTCCATGCTGAAGAAGATGAATCTTTTAGTCTTTCCCTTTGTGCTTTGTTCTGTGGCCTTTATTCTCTTTGAGGAGTCTCCTCTTCCCTTCTTAGGGCCTCCACATCTTTCCTCAGTCAGGAGCCTCCTTCATCAAGGAAGGAGCTAATCAAGCTAGCCTTAAAGGCTCTCCATTTACACATCCCAGGTTCTCACTAGCTTTTGCAGCAAGAAACGAAGATCAAAAATCAGGCATAAAAAAAAGAGATGCCATTTCTAACAACATTTTCTTTATGACAAACCTTTCCATATATACTGCTTTAATTTTCACAATAGCCCTGCAAAATAAGTACAATGATCTCCACTTTTACATCAAAATAACCGAAGCTTAGAAAAATTAAGGCCACAGATCTTGATCATAAAAGAGTTGAAATTCAATCCCAGTCCTGCATGAGCCAAAGTCCTGATTTATGTACTCTGCTACCCTCTGGTAGTAGACACATGGGACCAATTGGCTTTTTTGTACCTTTGGACACTGACCTCACTCCAACCCAAACCTACTACCTTGAGCAGGCATGTCATTGGCCACCAAAAAATCTTGGCTGGGAGTTCGGATTTTTTACTGCAAACCCACTTTTCTCTGCAGGAACTTCAAAATATGTGCCCTATTGGCTGTGACTAAAAGCATCAACTGAGCACAAATGGCTATCCCAGTGTGAAGATGTTGCTGATTCATTCTCTCTGCTATCTGACTGGCCTTGGATTTCTGCATAGTAAATTTCCTCCCTGGAGAACTGGCCTGGACCTGTTCTTTCTCAATTTTGGTTTCAGGTCACTTTTCCAGTCAAGCAAGGCCACTTTGAATGTAGATCCTACTTTTTAAGGTCTGACACTTTCTCATGAGCACATCACCCACCAAGTTGATAAACACACTCTCTACTCTGTTATCTAACAATCATCAGTAAAATTGAGTTGCCTACTTTACAACCGCATGAACTTCTTTACTCCTTAGGGAAAAACTGACCCCCACCCTTGACGAGGGACTAGTTCAGAGTTCCGATTTACTTTATTCTTCACTCACTTTAGGTAGGCTGGGATGGAGGAAACCATTGTGTAGGAGATGGTTTATAAAGTTACCATTACATGACTTGAAACACAATTCTCAAGTACTTTGAAAGGGTTAATGAGCAATCTGGCGAGC